AAGTTAGATTGTATTTTTCTATTTTTTTAAAATTTTACTACAATTTTTAATTATTTNCTATTTTTTAATAATTTTTGTTCAATTTTTAATGCTTTGATAATCACTTTTTTTTTCTTTTTAGAAAAGAAATGAAAAAATTAATAATAAATAATATGAGATCCTAAATTCAACGCTGCCAATTTTTTTATATTTAAGACAATGCGTACATTTTTTTTAATAAGTTAGATTATAATTTTCTATTTTTTTAAATAATTTTTGTGCAATTTCTAATACTTTGATAATCACTTTTTTTAAGAATGAAATGAAAAAACTAATAATTAATAATAGGATAGTCTAAATTGTGCGCCGCCAATTTTTTTTGACTCCAGACAACTCCTAAATTTTTATTTTAATAAGTTAGATTTCTATTTTATATTTTTTTATTAATTTTGTGCAATTTTTATTGCTTTGATAATGTTTTTTTTTATTTTAGGAAAAAATAAGAATAATAAAAAATAGGAGAGCCTGAATTTAACGCTGTCAATTGTTTTAGACTTTAGACAACATGTACATTTTATTTTAATAAGTTAGATTGTATTTTTCTATTTTTTTAAAATTTTACTACAATTTTTAATTATTTGATAATGCATTTTTCTATTTTATGAAAGAAATAAAAAAATTAATAATAAATTATAGCAGAATCTAAATTCAGCGTCACCAATTTTTTTAGACTTTAGACAATACATATACTTTATTTTAATAAGTTACATTGTAATTTTCTATTTTGTAATATTTTTTGTGCAATTCTTAATGCTTTGATAATCTTTTTTTTTTTTGTTTTCAATTTGGGATAGAAGTGAAAAAATCAAAACTAAGTAATTGGTGAGTCTGAATTCAGCGTCACATATTTTTTTAGACTCTAGATAATATGTACAATTTTTTTAGTAATTTTTGTGCAATTTTAAATTATTTGATAATCTTTTTTTTTCATTTTAGGAAAGAAATTTAAACATTAATAATTAATAATTGGAGAGCCTTAATTCAGTGTCGTCAACTTTTTTAAACTACGAACAACACGAATATTTTATTTTAATAAGTTAGATTGTAAATTTTCTATTTTTAATAATTTTTGTGCAATTTTTAATGTGGTGATAATCTTTTGTTTTTCATTTTAGGAAAGAAATGAAAAAATTAATAATAAATAATATGAGAGTCTGAATTCAGCACTGCCAATTTTTTTAAACTCTAGACAATATGTACATTTTATTTTAATAAGTTAGATTACAATTTTATATATTTTTAATAATTTTTGTGCAATTTCTAATGGTTTGATAATCTCTTTTTTCTACTTTTGAAAAGAAGTAGAAAAATTAATAATAAATAATATAAGAGTTTGAATTCAGCGTCGCCAATTTTTTTAGACTGCAGACAATGCGAACATTTTATTTTTATAAGTTAAATTGTAATTTTATATTTTTTAATAAATTTTGTTCAATTTCTAATGCTTTGATAATCTATTTTTTGAAAGAAATTTAAAAATTAATAATAAATAATAGGAGAGTCTGAATTCAGCACTGTCAATTTTTTTAGAGTCCAGACAATATGTACATTTTTTTTTAATATTTTAGATTGTAATTTTCTATTTTTTAATAATTTTTAATTCTTTGACAATTCATTTTTTTTATTTTAGAAAAGAAATTTAAAATTTAAAAATAAATAATAGGAGATTCTGAATTTAGTGTCGGCAATTTTTTTAATAAGTTATTTTACAATTTTCTATTTTTTAATAATTTTTATGTAATTTTTAATTTTTTGATAATCTATTTTTTTAATTCTAGAAAAAAATTAATAATAAATCATAACAGGGTCTAAATTCAGTGCCCATTTTGTTTATACTCTAGATAATACATAAATTTTATTTTAATAAGTTAGATTGTTATTTTTTAATAATTTTTTAATAATTTTTAATTATTTGATAATCTTTTTTTTATTTTTGAAAATAAATTTGTAATTTTTTTAATTTAATCTATCAATTATCAATTTTATTTTAATTAAATCTTTTCATTAATTTTCATCTTCATATTCAGGATTAAAAATTTTTAAATCTTTTCATTAAAAGCTCAAAATTTTTAGCACCCTCTCTTTGTGAGAGAATGAGTTTTTTTTTTATTGAATTAAAAAATTAATTACATTAAATAAATAAATTTTGATAATTTAAAAATACTTATATTTTTTTAGCATATCAAACATTAAAAATTAAAAACATATACATATAATTAAATTTGAGGTCTCATACAAACTATAAGCGTTACACCAAATACTTTCTCCTCTAAAAGTATACATTCTGAAAAAATATAAGTTATTCAGAATGTATAAACGAAAAAATAAGATGTCAACAACGTGATTGATATTCAAAACAACGTGATTAATATTCAAAACAACATAAAAGATTATCGAGTATACATAAACATGATGGGATAAAAGTGTTAGACGCATCATCGTCCAAATCAGATAAATCAAAAAACTCTATTTTAGCATAATCGAATGCGTGGAAACGATCAAGACGACATTGCATTTGATTATTTTCACGTTGAAGCCTTGAAATGACCTCGTCATGATTGTTTGAATTCTGTGAATTGTAAATATCAGCCAAATATGCTTTTGGTACCGCAATTCCATGTCAATGACAAAAATACTTCAAGGTCACAACATTTTGTCATATAACTGTCGTCATGCTGGTGTTGGTTCGATATGGGCACCTGGAGGTGGATAATCAGTTGCAGGCCCAACAATTATATGTCTAGCTTGTCCGAATGGGTGATAAGGGTCAATGGGCTCATTGCGGAATGCACGGTTTTCATCCATACCACGTTACACTACTGGAGTCGGTATATAATTCGATAGAAGGAACTTTGTTCAATGATGTTGAGCTGTCTGTTGAGCGTTCACGTTTGTTACTCAAAGATGAGCTATTTTGGTGATTGCGTGAAGAAGAACTTGCATGTGATGTGCTTCTATACATTTTGTTTGGTGGCGGTGGAGTAATGTGTTAAACGTCAGAAATTTAAGTATTTTTAAATTATCAAAATTTATTTATTGAATGTAATTACATTTATAAATAGATAAGAAAAAAAAATTATGTATTTTTAAAATATCAAAATTTATTTATTAATTAATTTTTTTATTAAATAAACATTTAACATTTTACTCATAAAAAAAGGCAAAAATTCTATCACTAAGGACTAAATTAAAATCCAAGATAAAAATTAAGGGACAATTATAATAATTATCTAAACTAATGGACAGTTATGATAATTATATAAATTAAAATAACATAAAAATAAACTCATTTGTTTGCTGTACTCCAACCTAAACGTCAAAGATTGTGGCTGCACTACATGGATTGAAATGTTCAGACGCAAGGGGGGCACCATAGTTAAAGACGTTAAACGGTTTGACGTCTATTATAAAGACGTTAAATCGACTGATAGTTTTAATTTCATGGGCTGATCTACAGTGTTGGGTTAAAAAACGTCAAATGGATTGACATTTTTAGGATAAAGACGTCAATCCATTTGATGTCTTTAGCTTAAAAACGTTAGTTTATTTGACGTTTTTAAAAACTGTCTGTATTTGAGAATTACTTTCAAAATTACCATTATTTGAGACTTTTTTTATAAAATCCCATGGGATGGGTCAAAAGCTCCTTCTTTGCCGCACAATAAACGGGCCATGGTGTTTTGTGCATCCGAGGCTATTGACCAGGTTATGGTCCGTGTTTGTTCGTCCAATAATGTTACAGTCCATAGTTGGTTTCTAACGGGCTGTCCATTTTGTTGATCCTAAGGGGCCTATTTTGTTAGTCTGACTGTCAATCGTGTAATGACTTAAGTCGGGTTTTAATAAGTTTATGTTAAAAAATATTTAATTTATTTATTAATTTGTGGTATTGTATATGAATTTATATATAAACTAGTCGTGTTATGTATTTTTTTTAATTAGTTTCATACATATCTAATTTGTTTATTAATTATGTCGTGTCGAATCCACCGTTTACGAGGTGGATAGTTTGAAAAAAACACAAATTCTCTAATTTTTTATCCATATTCATGTCGTATTAACAAGTCGTGTCGCATTTTACCACCCCTAATCAGAACTAATGGAAGTGGGGCTTATTCATTACTCGGAAAAGAAGTTTTCAGAATTAGAGAATTGATACTTCTTACCAAACATTCCTATCTTCATTTTTCTAATTCGATCTATTTTAATCCTTCGAGCTAATTGCTTGAATGCTCTGGCTGCAAAAGGTAATTTGTTTAGGAAGATGATTTGCAAAGATTGCATGTGTAGTGCTTGATTAAATGACTGACAAACCATTGTGGTTCTTTGTGGGTCATTGTGGAGGATACTACAACATGGGTAGAAGAACGATCCTGAAACTTTGCACCAGTGTGACAGTGATGTGCTCACAGAGTTCATGTCTGCAAGGGAGGCTGTTCAAGTTGCTTTGTCAAATGGATACCAACATAACTTTGGAGGTGATTCCTCAAGGGTGGTTATGTCTATTATAAGGTAATATACTGTCTAAATAAAGTATCGTTGTTTGATTCCAGGCTAGATAGAAATACTTGTAATAGGATTGCCCAAGTTTTATTTAGGAATATGCTAGTGTTATTTCTGATGTAGTCCAATGGATGAATGAGGCGCCTGCCTTGTCGTTCTTTGTCCTTTGTATGTGGCAGAATTTGAGTAGCTCGAACTGTTTCTTGAGCTCCATAGTCATGGCATGGTAGGACATTAATTCTGATTTGCGTACTTCATAAGTAACATTGCGAATCCCCATAGATCGTGAGGACCTTTATACCTCTCATCCTTGGCTATATTTTGTTTCAATTCTTAATCTATTGGTTTATGAGAAATAAACAAGTTTGTAAAAAAACTTCTAATGCTTTTTTAATATATGGATGAGCAAGTGGGATCTTCTCAAATAACTAAGGAGATGTCTATCCCAGGCACAATCTGGGTCAAGTTTCACCAATTGCGTAGTGATTCCCATTCCTTTCTCCTTACAGGAAAACCAGGTTTTATTGCTTTCATTAAAAAAAATGTTAAATTCGCATGCTAATCACTTTATGGTCATCATTACCTAGGTTCTATAAGTTTATATCAATACAGGGTACCTCTATTGCTGCTTGTTTAGATTCTCCCAGTATCTTCTCTCCCATGTCTCCACTTGCTTTATTGAGTTGAATGTCCTCCTAAGAAAGGCCCCAAGAGCATGAGGATCATAGGGAGGAGGCATAGTGCAGGGACTTGTAATAGAAGGACCCTTCTCTAAGGATTCCATCATGAACTTCTTCTCTGACTCATCTGCATGGCAAACCATGGTCTCTGAACAAAGCTCCACAGCTCCTACTGGTATTTTAGGCTCAAACCTCAACAACTTAGCATATTCGTTTAACAGATGAAACATGTAGTCATATATGTAGTCCATCCTTAGCTCTTCTTGAATGAAGTCACTGGCTGCTTTTCCAATGGCTTGTGCCTGCTTAGCATACGTTGCATTACATTTTTTGCCATTCAGAATGTGATGTAGCATGCATAGAGGAGGATTACATGACATTGACAGCCTAAAAGCTTGGGAAAACAAAAGCTACAACTATAGCAACACTAATCGAGGTAGATTTCAGCGTCAGTGTTAGAAAATTTTTGAAGACCCCATTCCGAAAAGGCCCTGAAACGCAACCTGATTAGCGTCACTAAATCTTTCCTAATTAATTTCTGAAGATTCTAGGCTGTCATTTAGTCCACCACTCTGCGTGCTATATCAGAAAGGAATCACTATGGGTATTTATAAAATTCACACTTACCTTCTGTTTGTGGTTGTTGCCCCAATCTACTGCAAATTTGATTGATCTGCACTTGTCATCATCTCTTATAGGCCAGAAGTGGTGTACTGGTTGCAGACTTCTTGTGAAAAAATCATAAAAATTCGTTTTTACGAACAAAGTTACTGAATCGCAGGCTAGAATGTACTTCTCACTAACAGACCATGCGTATCCTTCAATGTAGATCTTGTATCTGTATGGACATAGTCATCTGATTAGTGGACATGCAAATTTGTAACAGCTATGCTTTAAACCAGGAAAATCTGTAGAAGATTTGAAACTCAAGCCAACAATCTTTCCCTGTATATATACCTGTAAGTGCATTGGCTAGCTACGTTGGATTGCTTGAATCCTTGTTGAGACTCTTGGATCCAATCCTGCAAATTATACATACATCATAATATGAGGGAACGACTAGACAAGCTTAACAAGTGTTTGAAGAAAAATTTACCTGGATGAATAGGCGAGCATTCCAGTCTTGGTTATCGGTGACATTGCAAGTAAGGAGGTCTTTTCTGGTTTCGGCAACAAAAGGGTTTCCCTTCCAGTATGCATATGGTTCCCTTTCCATCCATTTTACTCGATTATTCCCTTCTTTTATGTCCTTTAAGATATTCTCCCACGGCTTTATGTTAATTTCAGCCCTACAAACATATACAGCCAAGTATCATTGTATCGTTCATGGTTTTACAGAATTATTTTTGCCCTTCGAACAATTACCCAAAAAAACGTTACTAAACGATAATTAGATCATGTTGTAGCATGGCATAAGGGATTTTTGAATAAAATATCTGTTGAACTATACCTAAATTATTTCTCACTCACCAAACAGGCATAGGACAGGGAATGTGACAGGACATTGGGACCGCACAAGTGGTGGATACAACTTTGGAGCTACATGTCACAGGCTTGACTTTTCAAGCTCCTGTGCGGCACTTAAACGCTAAATTTCTCCGGAACCTCCACTCTAATGTCTTCTGGATCCTTCTAACAGGCGGATCGTGACATATAGGTCACATAGCACTCAGCTGCAAATTCATCCTTTTACGATCACCAATATCATTCTAATTGTTAATGTGTCGACCCACTCCAATTATAGGATAACTAGGATTGAGAATAGTTTATGTTTTATTTAAACTATGGTCGTGTCGGAGTATTTGCTAGAAATTGAAAATAGAATTGTTCAAATTCATCCACACTTGAAATGGGAAAATTACAAACTCACCAACCCCAGAAAGACCAATCTGGGAAGACTATGTCCAATGTCAACGGATCACCACAATATCGAAACAATGGCGGTGGAGCGGTGGTGTTAGGTCCCCGATGATCACGTGACGGGATCACCGGCCGGTCATTGCAGTCAAACATCAATTCCAAGTCCGGTAACCTCCCAGGATACCTTCTCAGTAGCTGCAAAATTCCCCACAAAGTGAAAACATCTCTAGTCTGTATTGATTTCTTGTACTTCTCAACATAAACCTTTCCCTTCACTATCACTAATCTAAAATGTGCTGTTTTCTTTGCTCTTTCCACCATGTCCCTTGTAATTCCTGTGGCCTTGAATGGCTTTAAGTCTTCGTAAATCCAGCGAAAATGATCCGGGCAAGTTGAATTCGATGATAATTCATCATCCTCACGAGTTTCAAATGTTGATGGGTAATTTGCTGGACATGTTTGAGTCTCGTTTCCATTGGAACAGTTGAGGGGGATTGCTATTCTTTTTGGTGTTCTTCTGTCCTCTTTTGATATAATTCTTTCTTTCGTGCTCACATCACCAACAGAAATAGTAGACTGCAATTGGAACAAAAAAACACATTTTGCCAGATCAAAATTTTGTTTAATTTCCACTGAAATCATTGAATGTTATAAAATAATAGTTTTTTTTTTTTTTTTTTTTTTAAAAACAAAAAATAGTTTCTGAAATACAAACCAAACAAGTTGATATGTTTTGGAGTAAAATTTTTAAATTTTTTTCTCTGTTTTTAAAACATTTCGAATATATTTCTGAAACATTTCGATAACAGTGTGAAAGAAAAACACATTTTTTATTATTGCCAATGATTTTCACTGAAGTGTTTGTGAAGAAAAAGCCATGGTTGAAGATCTGTTTATTGCAGCTGTATCTGAACAAAAATGAAAGCACAGAAGCAAAAAACCTTGAGTTTCTTTCGATTCGAGTAAATCTTATGACTAGCAACAACTTACAGAGTTGGTCCAAGAAGAAGAAATCAATCCAGTGATGATGAAGATGAGCAAGAAGAAGAGAGTGGCAAAAGTTACAGACCCCTTCTTTAATGGCGATCGCAATATCTTTGCCCCAGAGTTATGACTATGGAGTCCACTACTCTTCATGCTTTCCTTTCACTCACACAGTCTCTCTCTCTCTCTCTCTCTCTCTCTCTCTCTACTTCTGTTTGAAGTCTTCAATCATGGCTTCCAAAACTTCAGATGTTGAATATTCTCTGTCTGCAAAGTTTCGTACATTTTAGGGATTGATGTTAACGTGAAAGACAAGGCAATTGTTGTTGAATTATTTTTTTTTACAGAAAAGTCAAGGTTATAGCCAATGGCTAGTCGTCATCTTCTTGCACAAAGGTCCAAAAGTGGCTGTTTTCTATTACAAGCAGTGAGATGGAATGTACAGGTTGTTGGTACAGGGTTCGTTAGCCACCATGGTAGGTGGGATGCCTAGTTTTAAGAGTGTCAATTATAACTCGTTCATACGAATTTGACATAAATAATTATAAAATTAATATAATTATTAAATATTTATAATAAATAATTTAAACCAATATTTAATACTCAAAATATATTAAATAATTTTCCGTGTATATTTGCCGTGGGCATGGAACCTGGGGGTGCTAGCAATAATTGAATTGTCTAGCAATTGGTTTCTCAAATGACTTAATTGGGCGGAGTATCCAGCTAGCATGGTCCCTAGCCAAAATACATCTTGTGGCTCACACCCTTAACCGGTGGTGGTCCAGTAATTAATGAAATAGATGGTCGTAGTCCACAAGTTGGGTTGTGATAATAATTGTGGCCCACTGGGTTTTTCAATTCCGGCCATATTTGAAAATAGTCTATGTCCAAAGTTATTAAAAACATATAATTCAATACAATTTGAATAAATCAGTTAGCATTGAATTTTGACAAGTGGCCTATTTGAAGGGAGCAATGCTATTGGAACCTAATTTACTGACTTAATTCATTATGATCTTTTGATTGATTGTAGGGCCCATCAAACATTGAAACTTGATATTGATTCAATGGTTTAGATGAAGCCACGTCATTAAGTCAACAAATTAGGTCAAATTTTTATGTCTAAATAAGATTATTTATTTGAAGGTGGTTGAAAACTTTAATTTTTGGAGAATTCAAAAGAAAAGAAGTTTGATCCATTTGAACTCGGATTTATTGAGCCAACTTTATAATAATTTTTGAGCGAAAACATTTATTATTAGAACTAAGAAAAAACTGAAACAAGGGGCTAATTTAAGAGCTTCCAAATAAAAGCTGACTTTTTTCGAAAATACTTTAAAGGGTTATACAAGTTTTTTTAGCTCCAATTTTTTTATTTCACTTTTCAAACCTCTGTTCTGAACTCAAAAAAATCAGCCATAAACGAGCCCAAAGTATATTTGAATCATAATGTATAATCACTTAATTTTAACACACATAAACATTCAATTGTGATCAAATCACAATCGAAACGCATATTGATATATTCAAAAAAAATTAAAAAGATAGTAGGAATTGAGATGATAGATCAACAGACTAATCTGATTTGAATTCAGATCATAATTTGATCTATGGACTAGTCTAGATAAGCGTATGGCGATTATGTCAATTGAATCAATCTTATAATTATTTGTTAAGAAACTCTAATGAGTAGTTTAAGTGGTAATATAGATGAACTATAAACTTAAACGTCTTGAGTTTGAATCTTGACAAGACCTTAGATTCAAGTCATGAAGGAATCTATCATGAATATTATAGTTTCAACGTGAATGACTTACCTTTGACCGGACAGGAAAAGTTATTAGTCGATGTGTGCGTAAATTCATCTAAACACCTCTAATCATAACAAAAAAAAAATTATTTGTTAGGCTTAACTATGAATTAGGTCATTTTTGGAGCTGATATTGGGGATTAAGGCTAATGGCTGAATATCAGGTATTAACCATCAACACGGCCTGATGGCAAGCTTTTCGTCTTTGGGCTGCTATTCCTGTCCTTTGATTGTTTAGAACTGGGCTGCAAACGAAGTTGGGCCCGTTCACTAGTCCACTTTATCCATCCGGAAAATTGGTGTTACGTAGAGGTGTAAGTTTGGACAAAATCCGATCAACAATGTTATTAAGACCAAATTTATCTATTTAATTTATTGATTTAATTCACTATAATATTTGAATTGATTGTGAATTCTATAAAATATTGAAACTTGGTAATGATTCAACGATTTCACTAAAGTCACATAATTCGATTAGATTTTTAAATCTAAATAACATTACTCAAATCTGAAACTCCACTTCAAGTACTATTTAATTTTGAATTAGATAAGGAATTTTTTGGGGGTCAAAATTCCATCCTAGTACTGTCATTTATTTACTTGGCCATAGGATTGTCAATTTTTGATACGACACGGACCGAATATGAAATTAATGGATCGGACACAAAATTAAACGAGTCAATGAGTTAAAACGGGTCAATACACTTAAACATGAAAAAAATCATGTCTAGTTTATGTCAAAATCAAGTCAACTCAATTTTGACCTGATTAATCCATATATTTTAAACAGGTTGACATGATTCAAACACAGACCCGACCTAACCTATTGTAGACATGTTTAACTCGTTTATAGTGGTATAGTTTACATATTATGTACGACTGATGTAGTTTTAACATTATTACTTATTAATTTTTACTTTTACTATAGTAATTGACAGTATAGTTTTTAACATTATAATGACAGTATACTAGTATAATTCTTTCTTTAATTTTTAGGTTAAAATTTGAATGTATTTTAGTTAATTTCATTGATAAGATATGATATGTTATTTATGAAAAAATTATTTAAAATTTTGGATGAATGATTTAATGGTGTATTTAATGGGAATGAACAGGTGTGAAAACTTATTATGTGTGTTAAACATGTCCATGTTATGTATGTTAAATAGATTAAACATGTCATGTTATATATGTTAACTCAAAAACGACTTATTTATTAAACGTGTCAAATAGTTCGAATTTGAATAATTTATTTAATGGTCAGGTCAAGTGATTGTTTACACATCTCAACAAGATTATTAAACTTGTCAGATTTTGATTTTAAAATTTTTGACACAAACTCAAAATTAATCTGACACAAAATAACCCAATCCGACACGTTTGATACTCTTACTTGATCGGACCAATTCATATAGAATTTCAATGATTCGCAATTGCATCACCCATTGTCTAATTCGTAACTTAACTTATTGGCACGAGATTCAATCTTTCTCCTTCGACNAGTGGCCTATTTGAAGGGAGCAATGCTATTGGAACCTAATTTACTGACTTAATTCGTTATGATCTTTAGATTGATTGTAGGACCCATCAAATATTGAAACTTGATATTGATCCAATGGTTCTGATGAAGTCACGTCATTAAGTTAACAAATTAGGTCAAATTTTTATGTCCAAATAACATTATTTATTTGAAGGTGGTTGAAAACTTTAATTTTTGGAGAATTCAAAGGAAAAGAAGTCTGATCCATTTGAACTCGGATTTATTGAGCCAACTTTATAATAATTTTTGAGCAAAAACATTTATTATTAGAACTAAGAAAAAACTGAAACAAGGGGTTAATTTAAGAGCTTCCAAATAAAAGCTGATTTTTTTCGAAAATACTTCAAACGGTTATACAAGTTTTTTTAGCTCCAATTATNAACAAGGGGTTAATTTAAGAGCTTCCAAATAAAAGCTGATTTTTTTCGAAAATACTTTAAACGGTTATACAAGTTTTTTTAGCTCCAATTTTTTTATTTCACTTTTCAAACCTCTGTTCTGAACTCAAAAAAATCAGCCATAAACGAGCCCAAAGTATATTTGAATCATAATGTATAATCACTTAATTTTAACACACATAAACATTCAATTGTGATCAAATCACAATCGAAACGCATATTGATATATTCAAAAAAAATTAAAAAGATAGTAGGAATTGAGATGATAGATCAACAAACTAATCTGATTTGAATTCAGATCATAATTTGATCTATGGACTAGTCTAGATAAGCGTATGGCGATTATGTCAATTGAATCAATCTTATAATTATTTGTTAGGAAACCCTAACGAGTAGTTTAAGTGGTAATATAGATGAAATATAAACTTAAACGTCTTGAGTTTGAATCTTGACAACACCTTAGATTCAAGTCATGAAGGTATCTATCATGAATATTATAGTTTCAACGTGAATGACTTACCTTTGACCGGACAGGAAAAGTGATTAGTCGATGTGTGCGTAAATTGATCTAAACACCTCTAATCATAACAAAAAAAAAATTATTTGTTAGGCTTAACTATGAATTAGGTCATTTTTGGAGCTGATATTGGGGATTAAGGCTAATGGCTGAATATCAGGTATTAACCATCAACACGGCCTGATGGCAAGCTTTTCGTCTTTGGGCTGCTATTCCTGTCCTTTGATTGTTTAGAACTGGGCTGCAAACGAAGTTGGGCCCGTTCACTAGTCCACTTTATCCATCCGGAAAATTGGTGTTACGTAGAGGTGTAAGTTTGGACAAAATCCGATCAACAATGTTATTAAGACCTAATTTATCTATCTAATTTATTGATTTAATTCACTATAATATTTGAATTGATTGTGGATCCCATCAAATATTGAAACTTGGTAATGATTCAACGATTTCACTAAAGTCACATCATTCGATTAAATTTTTAAATCTAAATAACATTACTCAAATCCGAAACTCCACTTCAAGTACTATTTAATTTTGAATTAGATAAGGAATTTTTTGGGGTTCAAAATTCCATCCTAGTACTGTCATTTATTTACTTGGCCATAGGATTGTCAATTTTTGACACGACACGGACCGAATATGAAATTAATGGATCGGACACAAAATTAAACGAGTCAATGAGTTAAAACGGGTCAATACACTTAAACATGAAAAAAATCATGTCTAGTTTATGTCAAAATCAAGTTAACCCAATTTTGACTTGATTAACCCATATATTTTAAACAGGTTGACATGATTCAAACACAGACCCGACCTAACCTATTGNTGTTACGTAGAGGTGTAAGTTTGGACAAAATCCGATCAACAATGTTATTAAGACCAAATTTATCTATTTAATTTATTGATTTAATTCACTATAATATTTGAATTGATTGTGAA